TCTCTATCTCTCTCTGTCTGTCTGGCGAGCACACCTGCCCTATAGCAAAAACCTCTCCAAAAAAAAAAAAAGAAAAGATTAATTATTTATATATATATGTATATTTATATCTATCTATATATAGATATAGATCTATCTATCTATATATATATAATGGTTACATTGCTGGACTCCCATGTAGTCAACTGTGGTTTGAGTCCTGGACCCAATGGCTTAAAACTCATGCCAGGCATGTGTGTGTGTGTGTGTGTGTGTGTGTGTATGTGTGTGCCCAAAACTCTGAGAGGAGAAGGGACTGGGGCGTAACTCTTCCCCCCGGCGAGTCTCTCTGTCTCTGTCTCTCCAGTGAGTACACATGCCGTATAGCAAAAATCTCTCTTAAAGAATAAAAAAATTTTATAGGGCATGTGCATTCATCAGAGAGAGATGGGGGGGTTAGTGAGAAAGCAAGCCTTTAGGTTCAGGGTTCAAACTACAGTTGGCCATGTGGGAGTTCAGAGCCTTAGCCACCATGCCACCTGCTGGCCCCTCCTGGCATGTTTTTCAAGCCACAAGGGCTGGGATTTGAACTACATGTTTGATGTATGGGATCTAGCTCCTTTAATCCCTGGTCCACAGGGCCAGCTCATTTTGCCTGATGATTTCTATAAGAGAGGAACTGTAAAAATTCTTTTTTTTTTTTTTTAAAGAATTATATTATTTAACTTAAAATGTATTTATTTTAAATTTGACCAGAGAGAGAAAGCGAGAAAGCAAGCTGCCAGGTCCGGGACTCGAACCACAGTCAACCAAGTGGGAATCCAGCACCCTTAATCACCACGCCACTGCCACCCCCCCAGGGACTGTACAGTTTCTGTCCTAACTTCAGTTAAGGCTGAAGTTCATGCATAATTTAGCAAATGATTACCCCTTCATAGTAGCTGAGCTTCCATTATGGGAGGCAGAAGACTTTAGCATGTTGAGTTGAGAGCAGAGAGGTCAGAGAAAGTCAGGCTGTGTGGGGGGTGTTGGGGCGTTTTGCTGAGTAGGGCTGTCTTCAGCCAATGTGAACCTGGGGCTCTGTAAGCCAAGGCAGCATGTGATCTTGCTGGCTAGGCAAAGTCCTTTTGGCCTCATGTGGGTCTGGAAAAGTGAACTCTCCCCTCTGTCCATTCGTGGTTCACTTGGGGCTAAGAGAAGTGCCTTTGGTCTCTGAGCCAGCCCGCAGGAGGCCAAGTGGAGCCGGAGAGCGAGGAGTCAGGGCTTTGGCTGTGGTCGCTTGCTGCCCGCCTCTGACTTTTCCAGAAATGGCACTTCGGTTGCAGCATGAGGCCAGCCAAGGGTACTATGGGTACCCACTTTGAGCTTCTCTTTTCCTGGGTGTTTCCTCTTAGGAAATGATTAACGCCAGCATGTCACCTTCCTGAAGTCTCTTCCACCTTCACAAAAACTCTAAAGCCTCACCACAGCTCTCCCTTCCCCGACTCGTTAGTTCCACTCACCTCCTCTCTCTCTGGTTTAAGCTCTTGACATCTTCCAGGGCTTTCTTTCTTCTGTCTGCCTCTTAAATGCGGTGGATTTTCAGGATTTGTCCTGAGCTATCTATTCTTTCCATTTGCATATTCACACTAGAAAACTCTCTCTCTCTCTCTCTCTTTTTTTTTTCTTTGTTTTAAGAATAATTTATTTAGGGACCAGCAGATGGCATGGTGGTTGAAGCATTGGACTTCCATGTGGCCACCCATGATTTGACTCCTGGACCCGGCAGCTTGAAACTCACACCAGGCACATGTGCATGCGTGCCCAAAATCCCAAGAGGAGAATGAAGGAGAAGGGGGACCAGCAGTTAGTGTAATGGCTATGTCGCTGGACTCCCATGTAGTCGACTGCGGTTCACGTTCTGGACCCGGTGGCTTAAAACTCACACCGGGCACGTGTGCATGTGTGCCCAAGATCCCAAGAGGAGAATGAAGGAGAAGGGATTGCGGCATGGCCATCCTCCCTGGGGAGTGATTTCTTGCTTTCTGTCTCTCTGTCTTCTGTCTGTCTGGCGAGTGCACGCACCCTGTAGCATAAAACCTCTCCAAAAAAAAAGAATGGACGAGAAGGGATTGCAGCACGTCCATCCCCCCAAGTGGGGGTGATTTCTCACTTCCTGTCTCCAATGAGCACATGTACCCTGAAATAAAAAATCTCTTTTTTTTTAAAAAAAAGAAAGGAATTATTTATTTAATTTTATTTGTTGTCACTATTATTTTTTAAATTTACTATAGGGAATAGGTGAGAGGCAGAGAGAGAAAAAAAAGAAGTAAGAAAGCAAGCTACCAGGTCTGGGACTCAAACTGTGGTAAGCTATGTGGGAGTCCAGTGTCTTAACCACCATGCCATCTGCTGGCCCCATCTTTTTTTTTTTTTAAGCAGAAGTTTTTATCTGGGCCAGGGTTAGGATGATCATTTTGACACCACAAAATCCAAATTGCCCCAGATAATGTGTGTCCAGAAACCTTACCTTCAACTACATCAGTGATGGTGAGTTGTTTTCATTTTTAGACCAAATCTCTGAATTCTATTTTTCCTTTTCTTTTTTTTTCTTTTTTTAGTTTTAAATTGCCAGAAGGCACATGCACTCACCAAAGAGAAAGAAAGACATAGAAAGAGGGAGAAGGCATCGCCTAAGAGGGTGTGGTCATGCTGCAGCTCTTTTTCCATTTCTCCAGTCTGTCAGGATTTTGGGCACACGTGCACATGCACCTGGTGTGTTTTTTAAGTTGTCAGGACTGGGATCCAAACCATTATGTGGCTATATGGAATCCAGTTTTCCCTTTTTTTTGTTTTTTTAAGAATTATTTTTTATTGGGGGCCAGCAGATGGTATGGTGGTTGAGGGCACTGGACTCCCACATGGCCAACCGTGGTTCAAGTCCTGGACCTGGTGGCTTGCTTTCTCACTTTCTCTCGTTCTGTCCCTCTCTGGTCGAATTAAAATAAATAAAGTTAATTAAAAAAAGAAAGAAACTTACTTCATTTAAAAATATATTTTTAAATTTATTTTTTATTATTATTTTCTAGTTTGATCAGAGAGAGAGAGAGAAAGAGGGAAAGTGAGAAAGCAAGCCAGCATGTCTGGGACTTGAACTGCGGTCAGCCATGTGGGAGTCCAGTGCCTTTAACCGCCATGGCCACCTGCCGGCCCCAGAATCCAGCTCTCTTAACCACTAGGCGACAAGGCTGGCCTATCTCTGAGTTCTTGTGCTAGACGCTAGGTGACAGTGGTGAGCAAATGAACATACCGTCTGACTTTCTGGTTGAGTACTAAATTAGCAGGTGCTTTTGGAGAGTGGTGGAGAAAGCACTCCCCAGTGGGATGTGGTCACACTGTAGTCCCTTCATTTGTCCATCCTGTCAAGATTTGGTGCATATACACACACTCTGGTGTGTTTTTCAACTTCCGGGCTGAAATTTGAACTACAGTTGATCACGTAGAGTCTGTCTCTTTAACCTCTATGCTATAGAACCAGCCTTGTTTTCTTTTTTAAAAAAATTTTCTAAAGAGGACTGGCAGGTAGTGTGATGGTTAAAGGTGCTGGATTCCCACATGGCCGACGGTGGTTCAAGTCCCAGACCTGGCGACTTGCTCTCTCACTTTCCTTTTCTTTCTCTCTCTGGTCAAATTAAAAATTAATAATAACAAATGGAATTAAATAAATAAATAGTTCTTAAAAATTTTTTTTTTCTAGAGGGCACATGTGCTCACTGGTGAGAGATGGGAAGTTGAGGTGAGGCAGTGAGAAAGCACCCCCTGCCTTGGGAGCTGGTTACACCACAATCCCTTCTTCCCTATTTCTCGCTCTTTTGGGATACTGACATGTATGCACACATGCCTGTTATATTTTTCAAGCTGCTGGGCTCAGGATTTGAGCTCCATAGTTGCCTTAACCACTCTACCACAGCCTGGCCTCCATTTTTCTTTCTTAAAAAATTAATAAAGGGACTAGAAGGTGGCATGGCTGTTAAGGCTCTGGACTCCCAGATGGCTGATTGCAGTTCAGATCTGGGACCTGGTGGCTTAAATCATGCCGGGCGCATGTGTATGGATGTCTGAGATCCCAGGAGGATGGAGAAGGGATTGCAGTGTGGCCATTCCCCTTGAAGGGGTGATTTGTCACTTGCCTCTCACTATCTCTGTCTCTGTGGGAAGCGCACATGCCCTATGGCAAAAACTTTTCAAAAAATTTTTTGGAGAGGTTTTTGCTATAGGGCATGTGTGCTCGCCAGACAGACAAACAGAGATATAGAGACAGAAAGTGAGAAATCACCTCCCAGGGGGATGGTCACGCCACAATCCCTTCTCCTCCATTCTCCTCTCAGGATCTTGGGCATGCACGCACACACGCCCGGCGTGAGTCTTAAGCCACCGGGTCCAGGATGCGAACCGCGGTCGACTATGCGGGAGTCCAGCGACATAACCATTACGCTAACTGCTGGTCCCAAAAAATAATTAAATTTTTTTTAGAGAAGGGCTCTCGCTGTGTTGCCCAGACTGGCCTTGAACTCCCTATCCTCCTCAGCCTCATCCTCCTGAGTAGCTTTGCTTAAAGGTGTATACCACTGGGCTAGCAGGTGGAGTGGTGGTTAAGGCACTGGACTTCCATATGGCTGACTGTGCTTCAAGTCCCGGACCTGGCAGCTTGAAAATCACGCATGTGTGTGCATGCACAAAATCCTGAAAGGAGAAAGAAGGGATGGCAGCATGGTCATCCTCCCTGGAGGGATGATTTCTTACCACTCTCTCTCCCTCTCTGGTGAGTGCACGTGCCCTATGACAAAAAAAAAAACTTTCCACCTCCAAAAAAAGGGGTGTGTACCACCACTCCTGGGACTCGTTGCCCAAGTCTGAAACCCTAGGTATCACCCAAGGTATTTGTGATGTGTCAACTTGGCTGCACTAAATGAGACTCCAGGCTCCCCTTGTTCACTGCCGTATTTCCTGACAGTGGCTGTGAGGGTGCAGATCCATGCCTGCTTCCTGTTCATCAGTGAAACACTAGCCCAGGTGCTGCTGTGGAGGGTTTCCACATATAATTTAAGTCCCCAGCTGGATGACTTTAAGTTAATAGAAAGGGAGATTATTCTGGTGGCCTGACTTAATCATATGGAAGCCTTCTGAAGGAGGGCTAGGCCCCACCTGATGTCTGAGATGCTGAGCTGTAGCCAGAGTTGCCCCCTTTTCCCCAAATCATCTGTTCCTGGTGGTCTGACCTGCTGAGCCCAGGCCTGCGTAGCCAGCCACCACAATTACATAAGCCAGTTAGCTAATTCCTTGTAATTAATCAATTTTTATGTATTTACCAACATGCATATTGTATCATCTAGAGATAAGGAATCAGTAGAGTTTATATATATGTATAAATATTTTACATATCCCTTAAATACATACAGAAAATCTATTGATTCTGTATCTCTGGTTGAACCCTAACCAATACCATATTCCTTGTATACTCAGTCACTTATAAAAAAATCCTACGATTGGGCCAGCAGGAGGCATGGTGGTTAAGGTGCTGGACTCCCACATGGCCGACATGGTTTGAGTCCCAGACCTAGCCGCTTACTTTCTCACTTTCCCTCTCTCTTTCTTTCTCTGTCTCTCTCTGGTGAGCACATGTGCCCTATAGTAAATTTTAAATAATAATAAGTAAAATTAAATAGTGTTTTTTTTTTTAACCCTAAGATTTTTGCTTCTTTCTTTCTTTTTTTTTTTTTGGAGAAGTTTTCGCTATAGGGCGCGTGCGCTCGCCAGACAGAGATTTTTGCTTCTTTAAAAGCGTTTTTTCTTTTGTTCTCTCTTCTGGGTGCCTCTGGGTTTTATTTAAGCGCCACCGTTTTTTGTTTGTTTTTGTTTTTTTAGAGAGAGATATTTTTGCTGTAGGCACTTGTGCTTGCCACAGAGACAGAAAGTGAGAAATCACCCACTGGGGAGATGACCACAATCCCTTCTCCGTTCTCCCCTCAGGATCTTTGGTGCGCCCACACACGCGCCTGGCATGAGTTTTAAGCCGCCCGGTCCAGGACTCAAACTGCAGTCAACTATGTGGGAGTCCAAGAACGTAACCATTATGCCATCTGCTGGTCCCAAGCCCCACCTTTTTGTCTCCATTATTGGAGTTGTCTTGTAGCTGGTCTCTGCATCCCGAGAGGTCCTACCCCACCTTGTTTGTTCTGGCGTGGTTGCTCAGAGTGTTTTTAGTTATTATCATCCTTGTTTTTGTTTGTTTGATTTTTTTGTGCTATAGGGCATGTGTACTCACCAGAGAGAGACAGAAATTGAGAAATCAGTTCCTGGGGATGAGAGCCACACTGCAGTCTCTTCTCTTCCATTCTCCTCTTGGGATTTTGGGCATGCATGTATACATTCCCAGTGTGATTTTCAAGCTGCAGAGTTCGAGACTCGAACTACTGAGTCAGTTCTATGGGATGCAGCCATCTTAGCCTCTAGGCCACCTTCCCGCCCCTTCCCACAGTGTTCATTTTAAGCTACATGTCTGATCTTGTCATTCTTTTTTATTTTTAATTAAACATTTATTTATTTAACTCCATTTGTTATTATTATTATTATTAAAAATGTGACCAGAGAGAAAGAGAAAGGGAAAATGAGAAAGCAAGCAAGCAAGCTGTCAGATCTTGGACTTGAACCATGGTGGGTCATGGGGGAATCCAGCGCCTTTAATTACCACACCATCTACCAGCCCCTTGTCATTCTTCTTAAACTCCTGTAATGACATCCTGAAGTTTTCAGGCAAAAATTAAAAGGTCTCAGAAATCACCCCCTGGGGGGCTGGGCATGCTCAGTTCCTTCTCCTTCACTCTCCTCTAGGGATTTTGGGCACTCACGCACACCTCCCTGTAATGGACGGCCATTTAATTGTCCCTTCTTCCAGTCTTTTCCCCAGCATGCTCAACCATAGGCTGGCCACCAGAAGGACTCAAGACACATTTTGGTTAAACAACAATAAAACCTTATCTCAGGGGAAAAAAAAGACACATGTTGGTGCCCAGTTGCTTGGTCTGGGGCCATCCACGGACCGTGCCAAGCCAGGCAGTAGGTGGAAGCAGGCAGTCTACCACAGCAGGGAGCTTAGGGCCTCGGGGATGCACAATCCTCACTTGTCCTCTGTCCCTGAAGTCCACAGGGGTGTGAGCAAGATGGAGGCTGACCTGTCTGGCTTTAACATCGATGCCCCCCGGTGGGACCAGTGCACTTTCCTGGGGCGGGTGAAGCACTTCTTCAACATCACTGACCCCCGCACCATCCTCGTACCTGAGCGGGAGCTGGACTGGGCCAAGGCGACAGTGGAGAAGAGCAGGTGAGAGGTTACGTGAAGGGGCTCCAGGTGGTAGAGTGACCTTGATGAGATTCCCTAGGGTGTGGAAACCAAAGGTGAGGAGTAAGCAGAGACCTCAGGGAAGGAAGAGAAATGAGAGCAGGAAGGCTGGGAGGCATTGATCAGGCTGTAGCAACTCCGCCTGTCCTTCCTGCTGGCAGGATGGGGGTCGTGCCCCCAGGCACCCGGGTGGAGCAGCTGCTGTATGCCAAGAAGCTGTATGACTCGGCCTTCCACCCTGACACTGGGGAGAAGATGAACGTCATCGGGCGGATGTCCTTCCAGGTCCCTGGTGGCATGATCATCACAGGCTTCATGCTCCAGTTTTACAGGTGGGACCACAGAGCAAGGCGGTGGGAGGTGGCGCAGCCTGGGTCGCTTAGGCAGGGAGCCATGTAAGAATCTTAAGTTTTGGGACCGGCAGGTGGCCTGGTGGTTAAGGGCGCTGGACTCCCACATGGCCAGCCACGGTTCGAGTCCCGGACTCAGTGGCTTGCTTTCTCACTTCTCTCTCTCCTCAATCAAATTAAAATAAAATAAATAAATAAATAAAGTTAAATTTAAAAAAGAAAAGTCATTTAAAAAAAAAGAATCTTAAGTTTTACAGCCCTCTTTATTGCTCACTTACCAGGTAGGTACAGTGTTACTTTCCTTACACACGTGCTACTTCATCTCACCCTCTCCACACCCTGTACGGGGGCCGGGGGGCATCATTTCCTCTTTTTTCTTTAATTTTGCTAGAGAGCATGTGTACTCACCTGAGAGAGAGAGAGTGAGAGAAAGCAAGAACCCCCCCCGGGGGGATGGGTATGCTTTCTCCTCCACCTCTCCCTTTTGTATTTTTTTTTTAAGAATTATTTTTTATTGAACTTTAAATACTTAATTCATTTTAATTTGACCAGAGAAGAACAGAGTGAGAGAGAGAGAGGAAAAGTGAGAAAGCAAGCCGTAGGGTCCAGAGCTCGAACCACCGTTGGCCATGTGGGAGTACAGCGCTCTTACCCACCACATCACCTGCTGGCCCTCCTTCTGGTATTTTGGGCACACATGTACATGTACCCAGCATGTTTCTGAAGCTGTGGGGTCCAGAACTCAAGCCATGCCCTCAGCCATGTGCGATCCAACCACCTTAACCACCACGCCACCTGCTAGCCCATTATTTCTATTTTATAGATGAAATCCAAGTTCTACAGGACCAGCAGATGGCATAATGGTTTTGTCTCTGGACTCCCACATGGTTTACCATGGTTCAAGTCCCAGACCCGGTGGCTTGAAACTCATGCCGGGTGTGTGTATATGTGTGCCCAAAATTCTAAGATTTTGGAGAAGGGATTATAGCATGGTCATCACCACCAGGGGGTGTTCTTTTGCTTTCTGTTCCTCTTTCTCAAGTGTATGCACTTAATAGCAAAATCTCTCTCTCTAAAAAACACACAGAAAATCCCGAGTTCTGGAGGGGCTAAGTAACTTATCCAAGTCTATACAGTCAAATATGGGAACCTGGATTTTAACAGGAATAAGTCCTCTCTAGGAGTCTCAACAAATAAGCTAATCTAATTCTCTCTCTCTTTTTTTTTTTTTTAACTTTATTTATTAATTTATTTTATTTTACTTTGACCAGAGAGGGACAGAGAAAGAGAAAAAGTGAGAAAGCAAGCTGCCAGGGCCAGGACTTGAACTGCACTCAGCCATGTGGGGGTCCAGTGCCCTTAACCACCACGTTACCTGCTAGCCCCCCTAATTCTCTCTTTTAAAAGTGCTTATTCCACAATGAATTTATTTTTTATGATGAAACATCTACTTTTTTTGTTTACAGAATTAACTATATTTCATGTGGTTTTTTAAAAATTTGATCAGAGAGACAGAGTGAGAAAGGGAAAGTGAGAAAGCAAGCCACCAGCTCCAGGACTTGAACTGGGATCGGCCATGTGGGAATCCAGTGCACCTAACCACCATACCACCTGCTGGCCCCATAACATCTAAATTAAAAAACTGGGAAGGCCCTTTCTCTCAGCTTAGTTTAGGGGAGCTGCTGGATGTGACTCTGCCTCCTCTCTCCCCTGCCCTCCCTCTACCTCCCTCGCCCTCCCTCTCCCTTCTCCATCCCCCCTCCTTTCTCCTCCCTCTCAGCCTCCTCCCACCCCATGCATTCACTTGTTCAGTTCTCAAGCTAGGTCTTGGGCCAGGTGTGGGGAGTGTAAAGACTTTAGTCCCTCCCCTCAGGGAGCTCCCAGTTTTATTGAGACCGAGAAGTAACCAGTCACAGCATAGCAGTGGTAAGTAGTCTTAGATTGTGGGTTGGGTTAGCACGTGGGGCTGTGGGAGCAGCAAGCTGCAGGAGTTGGGGAGAGTTGAGAGGTTCTGAGGAGGAAGGGGTGGGATCTTGCCAGCCTTTGCAAAACCCCACAGGCACCAAACAGCACAGGGACAGTTTAGGGAACTGTAGATAATGTGGTCTGACTGGTGTACCCCAAGCTCGCCCTCCCTTCCCCTCCTCTCCTGGCCTCCCTGCCTGATAGGACAATGCCGGCGGTGATCTTCTGGCAGTGGGTGAACCAGTCCTTCAATGCCTTGGTCAACTACACCAACAGGAACGCGGCTTCCCCCACATCAGCCAGGTAGGAGACCTGGACCCTAGGCTGTCCTCTGCCTCCCCAGGAACAGCCCTGTCATCCTCCCTGGGTGGGTCCTGCACTAGACAAGTGACCAAGGGTTTGGAAGTATTTCTCAGGCTGACTAGGAGAGCAGCTTTTTCCTAGACCGATTTCAAGTTCATTCATTCATTCATTGTGCCAGTATTTCTTGAGAGTCTGTTATGTGACAGGCCTAGTTCTAGGTACTGGGGACACACCATGGAGTAAGGCACATGTGGTCCCTGTCTGGTGGAGCGTCAGGTCTTTTAAGAAAACAAGCACGGGGCCAGCAGGTGGCATGATGGTTGGAGGCGTTGGATTCCCACCTGACAGACTGCAGTTCAAGTCCTGGATCCGGTGGCTTGAAAATCACAACAAATAAATAGATAAATAAATGTAAAAAAAGTTCTCTGAAATGAAAGCAAACACGGTCATCGTAGATTGTGAAGGACATGCTGAGAGCGACAAGACAGAGAACAGCGGCCAGGTGTCTGCATGGATAGGCCGGGCAGGACTGTGCGTTCTATAGAGATGATGCTCCGGCCGAGTTCTGGAGGGCAAGATTTCAGCCACGTGAAACCCCAGGGAAGAGCTCGCAGCAGCTTGTAAGAGTTCTGAGGCAGGAAAGAGCTTGGCATGGTTAAATACCAAAAGAAGGCCAAGGGGGCTGGGGCATTGTCCCCGAGGAGGCACAGGCTTCACGAGCCGTGAGGTTTTCAGGTGCAAAGCCCGTTGCCAGGCTTTCTCATGGAAGCCTGTGGTGCTGCCTCAGCCAGCGGGGCGCTCCTCTCCCAAGGGTCTCTCTCCTCCCTCAGGCAGATGGCTTTGTCCTACGTCACAGCCACGAGCACCGCCGTGGCCACCGCCGTGGGCATGAACATGCTGACCAAGGTACTGTCTGGGCTGCTGTGGGCGTGGTGGCCACTTGGGGGCAGCAGAGTCCTAGGGAAACACACACACACACACACACACACACACACCCTCATCCCCTGGGGCCATTTCCCAGTCTGGGGAGTTGGGTATGGCCAAGCCCTGCCAAGTCATGAGAAATACAACAGGACTGGCTCCAGTTTGTCCTCCTTGAATCTCAGAGGGAGTCTGGGGTCCCCCTGACTGGGTGTCTGGATGTGTGACAGTTATCAAGGTCTAAATTTCTTTGTCGATTCCTAGTTCTTAAGCCCCCTGTACTCCCAACTTCCAGGGTCCTGAACAAGTCCCATTGTCTCCTCTCAACAGAGAGCGCCCCCGCTGGTGGGCCGCTGGGTGCCCTTTGCTGCTGTGGCTGCAGCCAATTGTGTCAATATCCCCATGATGCGACAGCAGTGAGTATAGGGAGCCCTTCTTTCCACAGAGCACGTGGTTGGCAGGGAAAGGGCAAGAAACCAAGGCAGTGGGTGACTTCTTAGTGGGGAGGGCAGTGCAAAGTCCTTGAGGGTTGGCTGCTCCCGTGGCAATGGCCCTGGGAGTGGCGGGTGGCTTGACTTCGTCAGTGCATTCCATTTTGTGGGAGTCCTTTCCTACGTGGGGCGGGATGGCTGCAGGAGACAGGGTGGACCTGCTGGGGTTTGTTCTAGATCATGTCTTTTCAACTGTAACTGTGTTCAAGATGTGAACTCTGCCAGCTTCCAAAGCCCTGGGCTGGGCTTACAGAAGGAAACATAGCAGAGCGAGGTGGCTAAAGACAGAACAGGCCAAGAAGCCTTGAAAGAAGCCAGATGAGTAGGTAGATGCCCTCCAGGTACCCCGCTCTAAGCCTGTCACCGGGCAGGTCAAGGAGGAGCTCGCTGCCTCTCAGTCTTTGTGTCTGGACTGGAGAAAGCATCACTATGCCTCTGTTGTGAGGTTTTATTATTTTTCTAAAGACTATTTATTTATTTATCTTTATTTGTTGTTGTTATTATTTTTTAAAACTTGACCAGAGAGAGAAAGGAAAAGTGAGAAAGCAAACTGCCAAGTCTGTCACTTGAACTATGGTAGGCCACGTGGGAGTCTAGTGCCTTAACCACCACGCCACCTGCCCAACGTGAGGTTTTAATGAGGAAATATATGTAAATCTCCCAAACAGTACCTGGAAAATGACAAACACTACCTAAGGGTTAGCTATGGTGGTTGCCATGGTAGTGATCATCCGTGTCCATAAGCTGCTTTGTCTTTTTTTTTTTTTTTTCTAGGAGGTTTTGCTATAGGGCGTGTGTGCTCACCAGAAAGACAGAGACAGAGAGACAGAAAGCGAAAAATCACACACACCCCCGGGGGTGGGGGGTGAAGGCCATGCTGCAATCCCTTCTCCTCCATTCTCCTCTCAGGATCTTAGGCTCTCATGTACACACGCCCAGTGTGAGTTTAAGCCACCAGGTCTGGGACTTGAACCGCGGTCGACTACATGGGAGTCCAGCTACATAGCCATTATTGTCAACTGCAGGCCCAAAGCTGCTTTGTCTTGGGGTGACTGGTGAAATGTTACCACGTAGGCCTTGTAGAAAAAGCATGACCAGAATAGCCTCGCATACGCGCTTCTCCTCTTTCCTTCCCCTGCCCAGGGACTCTTTCCTGACAGACGGCGTGTCAGGCCCTGCCTGGTCTTGACTGAGTACGATGGAGAACTGGCCCGAGAATAGCAGCCAGAGGAGCTGCTGCTCGCCGAGGGGGCCCTTCTTTTCAACTGTAACTGTGTTCAAGATGTGAACTCTGCCAGCTTCCAAAGCCCTGGGCTGGGCTTACAGAAGGAAACATAGCAGAGCGAGGTGGCTAAAGACAGAACAGGCCAAGAAGCCTTGAAAGAAGCCAGATGAGTAGGTAGATGCCCTCCAGGTACCCCGCTCTAAGCCTGTCACCGGGCAGGTCAAGGAGGAGCTCGCTGCCTCTCAGTCTTTGTGTCTGGACTGGAGAAAGCATCACTATGCCTCTGTTGTGAGGTTTTATTATTTTTCTAAAGACTATTTATTTATTTATCTTTATTTGTTGTTGTTATTATTTTTTAAAACTTGACCAGAGAGAGAAAGGAAAAGTGAGAAAGCAAACTGCCAAGTCTGTCACTTGAACTATGGTAGGCCACGTGGGAGTCTAGTGCCTTAACCACCACGCCACCTGCCCAACGTGAGGTTTTAATGAGGAAATATATGTAAATCTCCCAAACAGTACCTGGAAAATGACAAACACTACCTAAGGGTTAGCTATGGTGGTTGCCATGGTAGTGATCATCCGTGTCCATAAGCTGCTTTGTCTTTTTTTTTTTTTTTTCTAGGAGGTTTTGCTATAGGGCGTGTGTGCTCACCAGAAAGACAGAGACAGAGAGACAGAAAGCGAAAAATCACACACACCCCCGGGGGTGGGGGGTGAAGGCCATGCTGCAATCCCTTCTCCTCCATTCTCCTCTCAGGATCTTAGGCTCTCATGTACACACGCCCAGTGTGAGTTTAAGCCACCAGGTCTGGGACTTGAACCGCGGTCGACTACATGGGAGTCCAGCTACATAGCCATTATTGTCAACTGCAGGCCCAAAGCTGCTTTGTCTTGGGGTGACTGGTGAAATGTTACCACGTAGGCCTTGTAGAAAAAGCATGACCAGAATAGCCTCGCATACGCGCTTCTCCTCTTTCCTTCCCCTGCCCAGGGACTCTTTCCTGACAGACGGCGTGTCAGGCCCTGCCTGGTCTTGACTGAGTACGATGGAGAACTGGCCCGAGAATAGCAGCCAGAGGAGCTGCTGCTCGCCGAGTGGCCACTCCATTGGGTGCTGGACTGAGCACATTGTAGACATTATCTCGCTTAATCCCTACTCCCTAGGAAGTGGGTGCCAGGGTTTTCTCCGTTTTGCGGACGAGGGAAACAGGCTTTCAGGACTCAACCAGGGCCAGCTCCCTAGGTCACTTAGCCACTCCCCTGGATTGTTAGCCTGCAGAAGAAGGTCACAGCCAGGCTGCAGGAGGTGGCTTCCTGAAGCGCGAGTGTCCTGGTCTCGGTTCTCTGGCATATTACATGGCTGGCAGGCTTCCAGCACCCCTCTCCCAAGTCCATCAACTCCCGTCTGTGTTTAGGGAACTCATCCAGGGCATCTGCGTGAAGGACAGGAATCACAGTGAAATCGGTCATTCTCGGGTGAGCAGAGGCCTCCCTTTCGGGGAGGGTGGGTGGCAGGGGGAATTGCCCTCCTTCATGATCACAGCAAGCCTGGGCACCGTCATGGGACTGAGAAGCCTCCCTGACTCCATCCACACTTCCTATCGATTTTCCCCACGTTCCTCTGTTCAGAACAGGCTTCTTATGCCTTTTCTCCATCATTTCTGGTCCTAATGCCATAAAAGTCTGGCTGGATGGGAGAGGAACTGGGGAGGTCACCTGGCCCCCGTGAGACTCATCCCTTCCCCTTTGCCAGCTCAGACAGGGCCATGACCCTGACTCCAGTCGCCTTGACCCGGACCCAGATCACTCAGTCCATGGCAGGTTCATCGCTTCCCTTTACTCACTCAGACTTGGCCATGGCCATGACCCTGGCCTAGCCCTCTGGTGTGGCCCTGGTCGGTCATCCCTGACAACTTCCTCTTTTCTGCCCTTAGAGAGCTGCAGCCGTGGGCATCACCCAAGTGGTTATTTCTCGGATCACCATGGCAGCCCCTGGCATGAGTAAGATGGGGAAGCCCTCGCACCCTGGGAGACACTGGAACACGTCGTGTTAACTCAGCCACACTCAACTCTTGGGTGGGAGGTGGGACCCCAGCCTCTCTAACTGTGCTTCTCAAACTCTTTTGCTCTGATGCTGGAAGCCCAGGAAAACCACACAAGTTCTAAGAACATCAATTAATCAGAGATTTGGGAGAGAAAGTTATTTTTATTCAACTAATCCTCATTAAGTATCAGCACTTCATGCTCTGGACACAGTACAGGGTGCTTGGGAGGTGGGGGTGGGAGGAGGAAATAAATTCCCAGCAGGGCGCATTCCGAGCGGGGGACAAAGTGTGTCTGCATGAACTCTCGAAGGTATTTCTGTTTTGAGAAGGACGTGTTGGGCCTAGTGACGAGTCTCCTGTTATCACAGGAGCCTGGGGAGTCTGGAAAGCACCGTTCTGCTGGGACTTGGGGAGAGAGGCAGGGGAGTAGCCATGTCTGCACAGGCTTCAGTTTTTCTCCCAGATGACAAGGATTTTCTAGACTTTTGAGTAGGAGAGGGAATCCCTCAGCCCCTGATCTGACTTCAGAAAGGGGTCTTGGGAGGAGTCTTCCAGACCTCTCAGGTCCTCCCCGGTCTCTTCTAGTCTTGCTGCCGGTGATCATGGAAAGGCTGGAGAAACTGCATTTCATGAAGGTACAGGGTCGGGGGGCTTCTTATGCAACTTCCCTGCACAAGATCCCCCACAACCATGCCTGTGCCTGGGGTCCCCAGACCCTTCCTTCTTCCCTCCAGTCACCACCGCCTCATCTCACTCAAGTAGAGCCCATACCAGAACCTGCAGGCCTCCTGCTTTAGACAGCCAGACCGGCTTCCTGACTTCTCCTGCAGAGAGCGAGGAAAATCCCCTTCCTCATCCGTCTCGGGGCGGGAGGTCCCTGCCTGTGGGTTCTAGCTGGCTGGCCCGTGGCAGGGCAGGCATGGGGTTCATCTGAAGGTGCACCAATCCCACGTGAATCTCTCATTTGTTCTTGTGCAGAAGGTCAAGGTCCTGCATGCCCCATTGCAGGTTGTGCTGTCCGGGTGCTTGTGAGTATCGTGGTCGGGTACTTTCGGGTTCTGTGGTGGCAGGGAATCCAAGAGCCGCCCTCTCGTGTAGCCCAAGTTGGGGGAGGTGTTCCTGGCCCGTCTTTACAAGTGGCAGATGCCTGGTCTATCCAGAGAGCTCGCCATCTTTTCGAAGGGCATCAGGCTGGCGTGGCTCTGCACACGTGTCCTTGTGGAAAGCAGGGTGCTGGGGTGCCGTCCTGTCCTGGGTGTCTCCCTCCCCCCCCCAAGCCAAACTGTATCCAGCTTTATTAATACTTTTCATAAACAATCATGGTATTTCAGGCAGGACATGGGCAGACGATCGTTAACAGTATACAACAACTTCCAAACTCCCTTCTTCAATGGACTACCAAAATCAGAAAGCCACTATAAAACCCAATGAAGTTTTCATTTGATGCTCTGAACAGAGAAAGTTTAGAGTGAGGGTTGACGTTTCACATTTAGCATGTTGTTTAACAACTTTTCATGAGCCGACCCTGACTTTCGGGAAATGAAAATGGCAGAATTATCAACCTGAAGATCCAACAATACAGAAAAGGAGCTGCTGCTCTTTTTTTTTTGAAGAGGTTTTCACTATAGGGCGCGTGCGCTCGCCAGACAGACAGAAAGCGAGAAATCACCCCCCAGGGGGGCTGGTCACGCCACAATCCCTTCTCCTCCATTCTCCTCTTGGGATCTTGGGCACGCACGTACATGTGCCCAGAATGAGTTTTAAGCCACCGGGTCCAGGACGCAAACTGCGGTCGACTACGTGGGAGTCCAGTGACATAGCCATTACGCTAACTGCTGGTTCCCTCCTGGGATTATTTTGAACTGAATGTTCCAAAGTATTGTTATAACAACCTGATAAATTCAGTAAGGACTTAAAACTTTACATCACAGAAGTCTCTGGAGTATGTATAAATAGCAGCAAGAAAGTATACTCAGGGCTGACCAGTATTGACTGGCAATCCTCCCGTTTCTATCTTGTCGTCTTGTCTTCTTTGATCCTCACCCCTCAACTCAGGAGCTGTTCGCCGTAGATGAGTCCAACAAAAATGGAACACTTACTAGGATTAAATGTATTGATACAGATGTATTTGTCAATGAGTTTGGATTTAATAAGATAGCACAGGATGCTGAAAGGTTCTAACAGTTCACTGGATTTGTTAACTAAAACTTATGTCTGGCCGACATCTAATGAGTTTGAGATGCCAGAACTGCCCTAACATGATGCAAGCTAAAGTATACAAAGGATTGGAGAGATAGTGTTTGAATGAGTTACTATGTGCAAAATCAAACTTTACTTCTTCTCTCTTCCCCTTCTGAAAAGAGGATTCTCAGTTCACTAAGGCATTGAAAAATGCATTAATGGGGAACCAGCAGTTAGCGTAATGGCTATGTCGCTGGATTCCCACGTAGTCGACCGCGGTTCGCGTCCCGGACCCGGTGGCTTAAAACTCACGCCGGGTGCATGTGCATGCATGCCCAAGATTCCGAGAGTAGAATGGAGGAGAAGGGATTGCAGCGTGACCATCCCCTCTGGGGGGTGATTTCTCGTTTTCTGTCTCTCAAAGATGCACACACTTCACTCGGCATCTCCAGCACCTTCAGCTTTCTGTGCCTGGGCTGTGTTGGCATCTCCATTTTCTGCAGGGTTGTTCCCATCCTTGCCAGCATCAGCTTTTCCCTTTTTTCCTTTGGGTACCTTCTCTCTCTTCTTTGCAGGGGCCTTTTTAGACTTGGGCTCTGGCTTTGGAGGAGCAGGTTTTGCAGACAACCTTGCAGATCTTCTCTGTGGTTCGTCCTTCACCTTGGCTTTCTCTCCTTTAGCATCCTTCAGCCTTTCTCTTGGGCATGGTGGTGACGACGGCGTACGTAGGTGCTGGACGCAGGGGATGCAGCGGCGTGCAGGCTTTGGTCGGTCCAGGGGTCGCTCTCGCCTCTTCTTCACACTGCTCCGGGTGTCTCCCTTCTGACCTCCGGTCTAGAGCAGTTGTAGAGAAGAGACGAGAAGGATGAGGTGTTGCTTTGGCTGGGGCTGTCAAGTGTCCCAGCTCCCGGGGAGGAAAATGCCACAGTCATGGGTGCGTTCTTGGGTGCCTGCCATGGACTGGACGTGTGCGGGCATGAATCATGCATTGCAGGGCCACAGGACTAACGAGGCCGGTCACAACCAACTTTGATGGAACGCTATGCATGCTCACTGAGCTGCCGCTGCACGTTTCTAGTTCCCTCCGTCCTTTCCATCCTGGAGGTGTATGTCCTATTGTCACCTCCTTTTGCAGCTGGAGAAACTAAGGCTTAGGTTAAGAAAATTGCCCGATGATATGTAACTGACAATGGCTGGAGCTGTTTGATCCTCAGTCTGACATTATACTACCTCCTGACTGAGCGAGTTTCCACCAGCCGATCGAGCCATTAGCCTGGGCTGGACGCTGTGCGCATGCCTGGTTGAACCTCCACAGTAACCCCGCACACTGGATGCCGTTGCCCTCCCTGTGCTAGCTCAGAAGTAACGTGTCTGAGATTGCACAGCCCGTAAGTGGCAGAACCCAGCTAGGAAGCAAGTCTGTTAGGTTCCCAAATCCTGTTAAGACCTCGCTTCCTAAAACAGGGTCCTGGGCTAGCATCATCGGAGAACTCCTTAGAAATAGGCGCTTAGGGCCTTCCCCAGACCTACCGAGTCAGCATCCACACTTTGGCTTGTCCAGTTTTTCGTAGGCACAGTCAGGTTTGAGAAACTGCCCTTTATGGTGCTCTAAAACAGCAGGTCTCAGTGCGAAGGAAGGAGCAGGCCTTGGATTCATGCCACCCCTCCTGTCCCCCTTCGCCAGTGCTGGTGTTGCATGGCTTCGAAGATGGGGAGAGGGGAGAGGAATGGAGCAGGCTACTGATTTTATCCTCCTGCCAGAGTGCGTCTCCTGCACTCAGAGCAGGAGAAGGGCTGGGAGAGAGCGCTGTGGGGCCAGTGGGGAAGGCAGGCTGGGACACAGGCATCGCCCTCCTCCGGGGTGCTCGAGGAGGGAAGGGTGGGCCCGTGTGGAGACCTCCTCTCATGCTGTGGTTTCTCCTTCCTTACAGCCTCATCTTCATGGTGCCGGTGGCCTGCGGGCTCTTCCCACAGGAATGGTATCAGCTGTCGATTCCTCTCTCTGTTTCCTTGAACACCCTGCCACCGCTCTCCCTGACTTGCCTGCTGTCCAGAGGAGAGAAGGCAGGGCCAGGGAGGGCAGCATTAGCCTGAGGACAAGTGCCCAGTGGCCTAAACTTGGGACCTCTGAACCCCGGGTGAACTGCAGACCAAGCAAGATCTCCAAGGAGCAGAAGTGGGAGGAAGAATGTGGCTGTCCCCTCCCAGTGAAGCTTGGGCTACCTTGGAGAAAAAGGGAACTTCCTTTCTCTCCTGGCAGGGTTATTAGGAAGGTCTGCCCTGGATGGCTCTGGTCTTTAAAACTGAGTAAGGGGGGCAGGTATTTATTCTGGCTCCTGTTTTCTAGGGAGCTGATGACTCTGTGTGTGTCCTAGAAGTGTGTGTGGGGGTGGGTGGCAGGGATAGAGAAGAGGTGATGGAAAAGAGGGGAGGCATCAGACCCAAGGAGACAGGTGTGGCTTGACCCTATCCCAGGAAAATGCCAGTCTCCCCTGCCTCGGTACTCTGGTCTGGCAGTGGTTCAGTGGTCACCGATTAGACAAGTTTAAACCAAGAGCCTTGGCCCAGGGAGAAGGAGGACAGTCTTGAGTAGAGGTAAAGACATGTCAGGCGCAGAGGCCATTAAGAATTCTGTCTGGAAAACTCAGGAAGGACTGCTCAGAGGTGGCATTTGAGTCAGACTCCACCTGAGGTTCGGTTGCGGCTTGTCTCCCATGGCATGCTTGTAACCTCTTCTCTCTTTTCAGTGAATTGCCAGTTTCCTATCTGGAACCAGAGCTCCAAGACACCATCAAGGCCAAGTATGGAGAACTCATGCCTTATGTCTACTTCAATAAGGGTCTCTAAATGCCTCACCCAGCAAGGGCCCATCCGGGCCCATCTCCACTGCTCTTCTGTAGCCGCTGTGCACACCTGTGCCCTCATTCCTCTTTGTCGACAAGGCCCGAAGGCCAGGGTGACCTGGGGGGCAGCTGGCCAGGAGAGGGTGGTTCCTGCGTCCACCTAAGCACCTGTTATTGGACTCCAGGAAGAGTAAGTGAGAAAAGGGTGCTGAGACCACAGACTTCTGTCCGCTTCCTCCTTCACCACTGTCCCCTCGAGGCCAGAAGCTGAGGTCCTCTCAGGGAGACGGCACTGATCCTGGGAGAGACTCAAGCAAACCATTTGGAAAAGTTAGGAAGCCTTCAGGATTTGGGTTCTAGCCAAGATTGGTGAACAACCCCTAGGACAAAGAGCTCCTACTCTTCCTCTTCCCTTCCTCCTCTCTCCCCAGCAATGGAAACTTTTACCCCGTAAGTCTAGCCTAACTCGCAAGAGCAGGGTGAAAGAATCTTTCCTCGTGCTCCTCTGCACTGCCTGCAGGCAGAGGCAGAAAGCTACTTTGGGAGGCACCGGCAGGTGGCGTGCTGGTTAAGGGGGCTGGACTCCCACACGACTGCTGTGGTTCGAGTCCCAGACTTGGCGGCTTGATTTCTCACTTCCCCCTCACCCCTGTCTCACACCCAGTCCCTCTCTGGTCAAATTAAAAGAAAGAAAGAAAGTTAAATAAAAGAATTCTTGAAAAAAAAAGAAAGCTGGTTAGGGAAAGCTGATCAGGTGCCTGGCCAGGAGTTGCTAGTGCTGAAAGGGGACAGTGTGAGGCAGCAGTCCCGTGGTACTTCAAGCCCTGCCTGTCAGCACTGACTGTTCTGCCCTAAAACCATGTCTGTGCCAACCCCGTGGCCTCATGGTTAAGGAAGCCAGATCTCACATGGCCAGCGATGCAATTCAAATCCTGGCCCTGGTGGCCTGAGAAACACACCAGATGTGTGTGCCAGCATGCCCCAGATCGTGACAGAGAGGGACGCGTGGTGGGGCCATGCCCCACTGGGAGGTGCTCTTTCCTCCTCTCTCTATGGCACACATGCTCTCTGACCAAAAAAATAAAAAAATGTCTGGGTGTATTCTTGGGATCTTCTCTATAATAGAGGACGTTTTTGTCTGTCTTCCTAAAAAACAATTCTGGGAGCAGCAGGTGATGTGTTTAAGGTGCTGGATTCCCATATGGCCGACAGGTTTGAGTTCTGGACCCGGTGGCCTGGGGATCATGTGCATGCATGTCCAGAATTCCAAGAGGAGAGTGGAGAAGGGATTGCATCCCAGCCATCGCCCACCGATGGGTGATTTCTCACTTTCCCTCTGTCTCTGTCTTTCTGTCTTCGGCAAACTCATGCACCCTATGGCAAAAATCTAAAAAGAAAAATAAAATCCCATTCATTGTGAATGGAAAGGATATTTGTAGGCATTAAACAGTGGGTATGGTCTTCTGGCTGCCTCCCACGCTCAGCCCACTAGGTTAAAAACCAAAAAAAAGACTGGTGTGCACTAAATAGGAAAGGGGAGTTTTGTTTGGACACCTCTAAGAGGAAATCAGCCAGGACCAAAAAGCCTCAAAGGACCCACAGCAGGGGCCAGCAGGTGGCGTGGTGGTTAAGATGTTGGACTCCCATATGGCTAACTGCGGTTTGAGTTCCGGACCTGGGAACTTGCTTCCTCAGTTTCTCTCTTTCTTTCTCTCTGGTGAGTACAATGTGACATAGCAAATCAAAAAGTAATAATAATTTTTTTAAAAGTAATAAAATTAAATTAAAAAAGAAAAGAAAAGAAAAGACAGCAAAGTACAGCCCTTGACCGGCTTGGCTGTACTAGGTGACTTCTCAAACTCCTTGTGTGAAATATGGCTTGTCTGGATCAATGTGTGTATGAGTTTTTCTAGTCGGATTGCTGTTCAAAAGATATCACTGAATCTAATAATACATTTCTTAAAACACCAAAAACTTGCAAACTATGTAAGTTAATAAAGCTTGGTTGGAAAACAGGGTCTGGTCTTATTCTAGCTCTGGCAGGTCAGAGGTTATCACAAGTCTAAGGATAACCGTCTGATGCCTGGAGGTCTGCTTCATCCTTTTCAAGTGTACAATTCAGTGTTGTATAGTTGTGCAACCATTACCCTTATCTAATTCCAGAATACTTTATGCCTAGAGGGAATTGCATACCCATTAGCAGTCACTCAGCATTCCCTACTGCCACCCCTACCAACCCTCAATCTGTCTTGTGTCTATAAGTCAGCCTAGTTTGTACTCTCCCCACAATATAGAGCCTTCTGTAGCTGGCTTTTGTTTCCCCCCTCACTTAGCACAATGTTTTCAATGTCCATCACGTGCGATTTGACTTCGGCTGGTGTCTGAGCAGCTAAGTCTGTCTCAGCCAGCTTCCTTAGGGAAGGAGACCTGGCGTCCACTTGGCCCATTTCCAAACACAAATAAGAATGTTACCAGAGGGGACCAGCAGGTGGCATGGTTGGTAAAGTTCTGGACACCCACACCTGGTGCCTTGCTTTTTCACTTCTCTCTCTGTGTCTCTCGTCAAATTTAAATAAATGAATGAATGAATAAAAAATTTTAAATAAATAATTCTTTTTAAAAAACATTTTATTAGTTTTAATTATTTATTTAACTTTATTTATTCATTTTTATTTTGACCAGAGAGACAGAGAGAGAGAAGGTGAGAAAGCAAGCCACCAGGTCCAGGATTTGAACCATGGTCAGCCATGTGGGAGACCACCACCATATTCACGACACCGCCTGCTGGCCTCCAGGGGACACTTTTAATTAAAAGCATTCACTCCAGCTCTGCATCTCGTTCCCTTTCTGTAACATCTCTGTTTTCTTTGAGTTGGCTCCTGTGGGATGCTTTTCTTTCTTTCTTTCTTTCTTTTTTTTTAATTATTTTGAAAAAGTGGAGAGTATGTGACGATAAAAATAAATTTTAGAAATTCATTTATTTTAATTTTACCAGAGAGAGACAGAGACAGCAAGATATCAAGCCACCAGGTTCGGGACTCAAACTGTGGTCTGCCATGTGGGAGTGTTCAGAACCTTAACCACCACACAACCTGCAATCTTTCTGTGGGATGTTGAAAGGCAGTTAGGGTGGGACCAGCAATTAGCGTAATGGCTATGTCGCTGGAAAAAAAGTAATAATAATTTTTTTAAAAGTAATAAAATTAAATTAAAAAAGAAAAGAAAAGAAAAGACAGCAAAGTACAGCCCTTGACCGGCTTGGCTGTACTAGGTGACTTCTCAAACTCCTTGTGGGAAATATGGCTTGTCTGGATCAATGTGTGTATGAGTTTTTCTAGTCGGATTGCTGTTCAAAAGATATCACTGAATCTAATAATACATTTCTTAAAACACCAAAAACTTGCAAACTATGTAAGTTAATAAAGCTTGGTTGGAAAACAGGGTCTGGTCTTATTCTAGCTCTGGCAGGTCAGAGGTTATCACAAGTCTAAGGATAACCGTCTGATGCCTGGAGGTCTGCTTCATCCTTTTCAAGTGTACAATTCAGTGTTGTATAGTTGTGCAACCATTACCCTTATCTAATTCCAGAATACTTTATGCCTAGAGGGAATTGCATACCCATTAGCAGTCACTCAGCATTCCCTACTGCCACCCCTACCAACCCTCAATCTGTCTTGTGTCTATAAGTCAGCCTAGTTTGTACTCTCCCCACAATATAGAGCCTTCTGTAGCTGGCTTTTGTTTCCCCCCTCACTTAGCACAATGTTTTCAATGTCCATCACGTGCGATTTGACTTCGGCTGGTGTCTGAGCAGCTAAGTCTGTCTCAGCCAGCTTCCTTAGGGAAGGAGACCTGGCGTCCACTTGGCCCATTTCCAAACACAAATAAGAATGTTACCAGAGGGGACCAGCAGGTGGCATGGTTGGTAAAGTTCTGGACACCCACACCTGGTGCCTTGCTTTTTCACTTCTCTCTCTGTGTCTCTCGTCAAATTTAAATAAATGAATGAATGAATAAAAAATTTTAAATAAATAATTCTTTTTAAAAAACATTTTATTAGTTTTAATTATTTATTTAACTTTATTTATTCATTTTTATTTTGACCAGAGAGACAGAGAGAGAGAAGGTGAGAAAGCAAGCCACCAGGTCCAGGATTTGAACCATGGTCAGCCATGTGGGAGACCACCACCATATTCACGACACCGCCTGCTGGCCTCCAGGGGACACTTTTAATTAAAAGCATTCACTCCAGCTCTGCATCTCGTTCCCTTTCTGTAACATCTCTGTTTTCTTTGAGTTGGCTCCTGTGGGATGCTTTTCTTTCTTTCTTTCTTTCTTTTTTTTTAATTATTTTGAAAAAGTGGAGAGTATGTGACGATAAAAATAAATTTTAGAAATTCATTTATTTTAATTTTACCAGAGAGAGACAGAGACAGCAAGATATCAAGCCACCAGGTTCGGGACTCAAACTGTGGTCTGCCATGTGGGAGTGTTCAGAACCTTAACCACCACACAACCTGCAATCTTTCTGTGGGATGTTGAAAGGCAGTTAGGGTGGGACCAGCAATTAGCGTAATGGCTATGTCGCTGGACTCCCATGTAGCCAACCGTGGTTCGAGTCCCAGACCTGGTGGCTTAAACTCATGCCGGGCGCGTGTGTGTGCGCGTGCGCGCGTGCATATGTGCCCAAGATCCTGAGAGGAGAATTTAGGAGAAGAGATTGCGGCGTGGCCATCCCCCCTGGGGGGTGAATTCTCTCGCTTTCTGTCTCTCTGTCTTTCTGGCGAGCACACACGCCCTATAGCAAAAACCTCTCCAAAAAAAAAAAAGAAAGGCAGTTAGTGTAACTAAAAGACTGTAGTGTGTGAAGTGCTGATCTTAATTGTAAAAGGAGAAAGGGAAGTTGGGGCAAAATCTGCCAAATTGAATTGGAGTTTTCTTTCTTTCTTTCTTTCTTTCTTTCTTTTTTTTTGTTGAGAGGTTTTTGCTATACGGTGAGCGCACTCTCCAGAAAGACAGACAGAAAGTGAGAAATCAACCCTCCCCACCACCACCACCAGGGATGGCCACACCACAATCCCTTCTCCTCCATTGTGGGAGGCTGGGCACCAGCGAACATCGCTGGTTTCTCAGAAAGCAAACAATTACACAATGCCAAAGGCCACAATTGGTTCCCTTCAAAAAACTTGACCTTTGAAACCATGCTCTGATTGGCCACTAGAATCCCTCAGATTTGTGTATCTGGCACCTCATGATTGGTCCAAAAGCAACCAATCATAACCCACCTTTTACAACTAATCATGGCCCGCCAACGTGTATATAACCATGAGGCCTGGCCCACAATCCTCAGACGACCAGGAAGATGACACAGGTGACCAGGACGACAACACAGATGACCCTGGAGAGCCTGAAGAGCTGAAACACCACACAGTCTACGGACAACCGGGAAGACGACCCAGAAGAGTTGTGACACTGCGTTGTCTCCGGACGACCCTGAAGAGTTGAGACACCGTGTCATCTCCGGATGACCCTGAGGGGTTGTGACACCGTGTCGTCTCCGTGCTGCTCACAATAGACGACGCGATGCATCATCTCCGTGTTGTACTGTGCTGCCCACAATAAACGGACGACCCTGAAGACACTGTGTCGTCTCTGTGCTGTAACACTACGCTGCTTGTCCCGGCTCTCACTCCTTCCCTCAGGAAACCCATTTGACTGTCCCCCTGGGTCGGGACACTCCATTCTCCTCTCGGGATCTTGGGCATGCACGCACATGTGCCAGGTGTAAGTTTAAGCTACCCGGTCCGGGACTTGAACTGCAGTCAACTACATGGGAATCCAGCGATATAGCCATTATGATAACTGCTGGCCCCTGAATTGGAGTTTTCTAGTGATGTTGGCATTTGGTATTTATAGGGAAGATTTGTAACTCCTGGAGGCCGGGATTGAGAATCTCTATGTCCTGGAAATAATTTGGCCCTTGCCTAGAACTAAATCTTTACTTTTAAGGAGCTTGACTTGTGGAATGAATGAATTTCTAAGAAACTAAAGGTTGTCACTTTTTGTAGTACTTGGGAAGCAAGATCAAGCAGAAGGCAGAGGCCCTGCTTCCCCAGTGCAGTCAGTATTGCACTGAACTGTGGAGCTGGAGGCCACAGGCCCGCCATGTTTCAAACCCTGCCCAATTGGCCTGGAAACACATGGTGCTCATGCCTAGATCCTAGAATGCTTGAAGACTGCAGGAGGTAGGTCAGGGTATGCCTGAGTCCTGTAGAGTGTGCTTCTCTCTCAGTCTCTCATGCATGTGCACGAGTTCTATCACGAAGAACATAAAGGGACCAGCCCTGTGCATAAGGAGATCCCAAATGGCAAGCTGTGGTTTGAATTCTGGCTTCAGTGACTTGAAAAACAGGCTGGGCATGTGTGCATGCTTGCTCCAAATCCTGACAGGCTGGAGAAATGAAGGGAACAGTATTGTGGAATGACCATGTCCCAGTAGGGGGTGCTTTTTCTTTGTCTCTGGCAAGCGTGCATACCCTCTGGTAACCATAACGCTTTTTTTTTTTTTTTTTTTCTAAAAAGCAGAGAGCTGGCCTGTAACACCTAGCTATAGTTCGAGCTTCTCTAGAGGCTGAGGAAGGAAGATTGCAAGTTTGAGGTCAGCCTGGGCAACATAGGAAGAACCTGTCTCAAAAATAAATAAAAGGGGCAGAACTATGGACATTCTTTAACTTGGACAAGACCTCTACCCCCACCCCCACTGTTGCCTATTTCTCATTTTGCCAATAGTTAAGCCAAGAACAACTGAGTTCAGCTATGAGCTAGATGGCCAGGTTAAAAAATGCTTTGGAAGGTCTTGCAAAATAGGGTGCTACAGGCAGCTGGGTTCTCTGCCATGGGTTCATTTGTTCATTTATTTTATCCATATTAATTGAGCTCACGTTTGGGTTCTGTAGAGGATGTTAAGAGATAGAGGAGGAGGATGAGAGGAGGAGAAGAAAGTTAAAAGATAAAACCCTGCCAATCAGGCAGGCAGATGTTTTAGATTCCATATACTGTGTGGTGTCAGGCGAATCCAGAAGGAAGGGGTGGGACAAGGAGTTTGTAAGCAAGGACTATGTATAACGTGTCAGTGGAGTTTCTGGGCATCTCTTAAATGTTCAGTACAATTGGAAACCGGGAAAATGCAAGGACAGAAGTTAAGATTCAGAGAAGCAGGTAGGGACCAGCTCACAGAAAGGACCAAATGGAGAATTTTGGACTATATGTCCTGAAACCAGTTGAAATGTATTAAAAGGGGAAGCCACACGTGTCCCTTAGCTTAGTGGGTAAGGGAGCTGGTCCCACATTGCCATCAGGGTTCAAATAGCACCCCCAGTGACTTGAAAAATACCCAGGGCTATGTGCATGTTTGCCTCCAAATTCCAAAAGGTTGGTGAAATGGAGAAGGGATAGCAGCATGACCACACCACACTAGAAGGAGGAGTGCTTTCTCTCTCTCTCTCTTTGGCAAGTGCACACCCCCTCTAGCAAGGTGTGGGGAAAAAAAGGAGGGAAGCCAGTGACAGCAGGTGATGTGGTGGTTAAGGCACTGGATTTCCACATGGCTGACCACAGTAAAAAACTGGTGGCTTGAAAGCACACTGGGCATATGTGCATGCGTGCCCCAAATCCTGGGAGGAGAGTGGAAGAGGGATTTCTCACTTTTCCTCTCTCTGACAAGCACACGCACTCTATGGCTAAAACCTAAAAACAAAAACTGGGGGAAGCCATTATGTTACAATTCTTGGGTTTACATGGCAGTGCTGATAAAGTGTGCAGAAGGAATTTGGCAGTCCACGGGTAGCATGGAGGCCGTTGGTAGAAAACAAGGACCGAAGCCATCAGGGGTGGATTTTAGAGTTATTTCTGAGGTAGAGTCAACAGAACTTTGTCCCTGACACTTGGGATGACCTGGTACCGTGCCTCAGACAAAGACACTATTTCTGAGATTGGAATTCAATGAACCTAAGCTGCTGCTTGGGCAGTTGACAAAAAGACATCTAAATATTTTTAGATTGCAAATGGTTTTCTCATCGGGAGGGCCCAGTTACCTTCTAGAAATAAATTCTTTTCCAGCACACTTTGGAATGATCATACCCTTGTCCTTTTTTTGCTGAGGTAATACATTACTTCCGCCACACTCAAGATGGCTGCACCAGAGAAAGGCTTCTTAATACACCTCCTAGGCGGCCCGCCCCCTAATCAAAGCCACTTCCGCCCCTCTCGGCGGGGGGGGGCGCCCTTTTCTCCACCTGGA